GGAATGAGGGGATGTCGTGGCACATCCGCTTTTGGAGGGGTTGCTCGGCCTGCTTAGTCCCGGGGGCTGGTGTGCACGGCACAGCCATGCCCTTCTCCGGCCCCGCCAAGGCCCCTGGAGAGTGAAGAGGTGCTGGAGGCACCGGGGGTGAAACGCTGCCGTGGCGCGGTGTTGTGACAGCCTGGGTGCAAAGGCAACGGGGTGCTCTGGGACCCCAAGGACAGCCTTGGCCGTGGGAGCCTCGCCTCACCTCACCGGAATGACAGCCCAGTGGGAGCATGGCCTGTCCCCTGTGACCAGGCCAGCCCTCCCTCCAGAAACGTCACGGGGAGAGGAGGCTGGCGTCCAAAAGTTGGGGCTCCAGCCCCGAGGGGACTGTGGGGCCAGCAGCAGCAACTGGCACTGGGAGGGCATGGGCAGAGCTCCAGGGGGTTTCTCAAAACCCAGTGAGAGCTGTGGTTGTGCAGTGTCAGCGTCATGCATTTTAGTAACAGTGTTGTCTATTTGTATGCCACTTCTCTAGCAGTGGTTTTATACATTTTGTACATTGTAAGACTTACATGCAGTTAAATTCTGACATCCACTGGTGTGAGAGGAGCAGAGGTGTGGTGTTCCCTGCAGGCAGTACCCTGCCCAGGGCTCCCTCGTACTCAGTCCCCAAGAGGCTGCCAGCTCAGGAGCTCATCTAGAGAAAGGTGCATTAGTTAGTGGGAATAGGCAGCCTACTACTAAACTTGATTTTATTTGGGAGAAGCATCTGGGAGGCTTCCAGGAGTTGCTAAAACATCTTCCACGGACTCCTCTTTACAGAGGTGGTCAGAGTACAGTCAAAAGCTAAATTATGTCCCTTCTCTGCTTTTCCTTTTAATGTGAATAGGGGTGCTAGCAGAGGATAAACACCCTGAGATGTGTGTTAGCATCTTATTTTGTTGTTGGTGTTCCTGTTTTGATGCAGTACTTGGGCTTTTACTATGTTGAAAATTTTCCAATTAGTTTCAAAAGCTTAAGCATCCCCTCCAGTGAATTTTGTTCATTTCTATGGTGGGAGCAGGGCTGAGGTGCAGATTGGGCTCCCATTAGTGTTAATTTCTGCCGGTTTTGCAGTGTGGTGTTTCCTGTCTAGGGCCCTAGCAATTATCCCATCCCTCACTTATTCTTTTGGTCAGACTTTGGCATACTATGTTGGATTTTCTCTTTATAGTCATGAAACTCAGTTTATTAAAAATACAGTGAAGTCACAGGGGCAGCATTGCTAGGAACCCTGATGAATTCACTGATCACTCATGGAAATGAAGTTCCCTTGGTATTTTTTTCTTCGTTAATGGTTGTGTATTGCTGGGGAGGTGGAGGAAAAGGGAATGAAAGCATCTTCTCATCTTTACATAGCTTGTATTCCCAGCTAGTCAGAAGGAAAGTGTAGTATTGAATACTAATACAACAATTCTGATTCTGAGGATTCCTTGCCAAACGATCAAATTCCTTGTCCTGCACATAGGATATTTTTTAGTCCTTGGAATGAAACTTCATAAGAAGTTTAACTGATGCATATAGTACATTTCTGTAATGCATGGTAGTTAGTGATACTTATGGCGTATCTTTAGATTTGTAATGCTACTTTTTTGTTTTGTTTTTCAGAGAATGCAGATGGTAAATATATTTCCCCATTTCATGACATTCCACTGTTTGCTGGCTCTAAAGAGGTATGTATTTGTGCCTTGAAACAATTTCAAAATGAGAACAGTTTTGTTTATATTCTTTAGGTTAAAATGCAGTTTTTAGAAGCACTTTTTGTTTTAGTAATTAATAGAGCACCAGGAAGGACCGCTTTAACTCGGGCTGATTCCTTATGTAGTACAGGCACAATAACTCCATGAAGTCTTCTCTGCTGTGTTCAGTAACTTGCAGTGAAACATAATGATTATTGTGTAGACAAGCCTAGGTGTCTTTAAGTCTCCAGGTGAAAGAGGGCAGGGGAACCCTCACTGTATCTTGTGTTAATTCTCCTCTCTGTTTAATGTTTGTGTTTGTGTGTTTGAATCAATTTCTATTACTCCCTTTAAATTGGTGTTTTTTACGTCTGCAATTAAAAGTGTACATTTCCTCGCAGTGGATGTACAGCACACGCTTACGTAACTTACGGTGTGTTTCTTTAATTCCCAAAAGGAGCATTATAATTGGAAGGCAACAATGATGCCCAAGAGAGAAGTGGTAATCGCACCTTTGGAGAATTACAAGGCGTGAGGTGCAGCTGAGTGCTTTCACGTCTTGTTAGCCACACTCCCTGGGGTTTCATTATAGCAATAATGAAACGCCTGTTTTATGTGTCACCAGTGGGAAATGCCCGTCTTTGGTTTAGACTTAGGTTTTCTTATTATGGTATGCTTGTTACACAAACAGGTTAGGAGGGTTTTGGCTGTTCTCCGGATTTGTTACTGAGTCTCTGTGGATGATGTGAATGGCGAGAAAGGTCAGCAGTTGTAACACATTCAGACTGAGACTTCTGAACTAATGAACGAATCTCTTTAATTATTTAAACTGAAAGATAAAAATATGCATGAAACCTTTTTGATCAACAGACCCAAAGCGTGCTAGTCAATGGAAGAAGTAAGTCTCCTTCAGAGAGTCGTTACTAAGATGCTCTATTCAGTGAGTGCTGTTGCTGGAAAAGCAGTGGGCATTTTCATCGCTTGTTCCCCAATGGCCTTACTGTCCCTGCATCTAGAGTTTAAGATTTGGAGGGGTGCATTATAGTCTGATTTTTCTGTAGATTAAACCATAGTACAGTGATGTCAGATCAGTGTGGAAAGGCTTTCCTTTTGGCATGTGAGCAAGGAAAGAGCATCCCACAGGATACAGGGGCTTGATGAGGGAGCAAGAAAGGGAGTAATTGTGAAGATCTCTCTTAATTTTGCCTTCTCTGCAAGAGTAAGACTTAAGGAGTTGTATGTTATATTCTTTCCCTCTCCTGGTTTAAGCTTCTCAGTCTTAGTTTTATGAAGGATTATTTTCCTTATTTTCCACACTGGTTTTTTGTGTTTGTTTTTTATCTTTTTCAACTGAACAGAAGGATGACTGTGTTTTTAATCCATTGTGGACAGGCATAAATTGCTGCTTAAATCTTTTAGTAGCTGGGAGAAAGTGGATGTGTCCTTTTGTATGTTTTCATCTTAACATCTGGAAGGTTATAATTTCACAACAAAACAGAACTGAGGACATTTAAAAGTCACAGTTTAGGCCTTTATGCTCACAAAAGGATGTTTCAACTGCATTGAAAACTACTGTTGTCTGTATTTGTGTGAATACAGTGTTGCTTTATAGCGTTCTTTATACACTTATTTGCTTACTCTT